TCTTATAACATATCTTTATTGCCACTGAAGAAAATTTAACTAATAAATTGAAACGTCTGGCTATTTTTATAAAAATTTACGAATAAAAAGCAATTTAATCATTATTTTATTAAAATATTTTTAAATAAGAAACAAAAAGTTTATAGAAGAAAAGAATTAGTAAAGAATGATGTAAAACATTGAAAGTCTATAGAGTAATTTCATCAGGTATCAAATACTTTATATACGACTTTTTCTCCAAACTCTTTTACGCATGGCACAAGTAAATCAAAGAAATTCTGATCCTTTAAACGGCTTAAAAACGTCGACACAGCGTTGGAAACGAGATCACCCTGTCGTCTATTGACCAAAATCCCCGCCTGATGAAAGTCATGAGAATCATAGCGATATTGCTGAGAGGGCTGAATAAGCGGTTTATTGATGAACCTAATTGAAGATTTTCGAGCGATAGTGTACGCTCTCAATAAAGAAAATAAGAATCCTAGACGAAGTTTGATTGATAAAGATTTATTGATCATATTGAGATGAATGAAACAAGAAACGTTATTTTGAGCATTGGATAGATAAATCAGTAAAAGGTTGAATTGATAATGGAAGGACTTTTAAAGGACATGCTCTGTTTAAATTAGCAGCTATATACTGCTCATTTTTAGGCATCGAGACTGCTCTCAGATTCTCAAGGATATTCTTCTCTATTCTTCGGAAAAATATTTATCTTTCAGTTATATATGGAACTTTGAAATTGAATGAAATTTGTACAATTTACCTATATAGGTAAAAAATGACACAGTACCTAAAACAAAATTTCAATTCGAAAATTTATTTTTGAGTTACATATGGAACCTTTTTAAAAAACACTCACTAATTTTTTATTTCTCTGTAAAAATGAGACGGCAATTAAGCTTTTTAAAAATGCAATATGCAATACATTATACATAATATCCTAATAGGCGTGCTTCTGCATATTGAACACAAGTTTCGTAGTCACGCTGTGATGTTATTAACAAACGATAACTTTTATAGCTGATATTAGCGCTATTTATTGAGCTCACTCGATCACCCATGGTATATCGCCCCGGATTTTGTGTTGCGTTTATTCCAGTCGATCCATTGTAGATAAGTACCCAACTCGCACGCAATAATAGTTGGTTGAGGTTAACCTGGTTACTTCCTTCCAACGTAACTGTTAGTGGGTCACGCTCTGGATAATCGTTCGCTGTGTGAAACTGCAACCCTTGGACAATACTACTACGGTTTGACTTAGGCACAGTAAGAAATCCGGTAGTAGCTCCTTTTTGTTGTGTTACGATGGTATTATCACCACCTAGGCCAAAATTCAAGTATTTTGTAGACATATCGCTATCGATAGCTGAAATTGGTGATTGATCCGATGGATAATTACATTCATTGGTGCCAGGAAACGCCAACTGACCATTGTTACTAGCTGTCGTGTTACATAGACCATAAATAAGAGTATCGTTTAATGGTGTCAACAAAACCATTCGCTCTAAAAATATTAGTCGAGCGGGTGGAATGCATGAGTCTTTTTACTCTCTCGAATTATGCTTACCTGTGGCACAGACGGGTCCCTCGTAATTCGTCCTTGAACAATCGCATTTATACGTGAAATTATTCCATACTTGACACACTCCACCATTTAAACATGGGAGGCTATTACAAACAACTATATGTACGGAAAAAGACAATATCTATATCCGCTATGGCTAGGTGAGCCGCTGTACCATACTTACTCGATGAATTACTTGAGTAGTACCCTAGCAATAAAACTTCGGCATATTGTATGGAGTTCTCAATGTCATTTATACGTTGTGATGTTATTAGCAAACGATAGTTTTTGTATGTAACAGTGTTGCTGATAAGTTCGGATTGGCCATAAACATTTCGACCTGGATCATAAGAACTATCTATGCCAGACGAACCGTTGTAAATCAATTTCCAGTTCGACCCTAACCTGAAAGAATGAAATCTAGTAACGTCTATACTTTCCATTGCTTTTGAATCAACAGGTTCTCAATTGCCTTCACGCTTGAAATCGAAGATTAGTGGTCCAGATTTCACGAGAAAATGCCCTAACGCGGTCGCCATAGAATTTCAATCATGGTTTTTAGGTACGGTTACAAAGAGTTGCATTGATAATTTAAAGTTATGGGTCTCATTTTAGGGCCTTAACTTCTCTCCTGGGAGTTATGGATCACTAAAATATTGGAGGTTCCTCAACGGTAGGACTTTTACTTTTCGTTTATCTCTTTAATGACCCAAGCATTACCGCTGGTTCAGTCTTCAAATGACAGAAGAATGGTAAACGTTAGTTATTGCTCATTGATTCGTAAATGGCGACACCAGACAAATGCTTGAGTACGCAAACATATCTACCAACTAAGTATTATCTTATTTTTCAGAATATTGTACACTCATGAAAATCTCATCGTAGAATCCGAACAGTCACCTCAGCACTTTACTCTTTTGCTGATCCAGAACCAGCAGTAGGATAGGTGTTCCTATACGAGCAGGATGTCTTTCTCTTAAACAACTTACATCAAACTAGACGAGTTCGTGCCCTCTAATGTAATTGTTAATGGATCTCGGATCGGGTGATCATCGGCTGTGACAAATTGGACTTGTCTGACAATTGTTCCTTGGCCATCGTTGATTGTCGGTTTAATGCAGAAACCGGTGTTTATCGCTGGGCTATAGGACAACGTGGCGTAGTTTACATTACCAAAGTTCAAGTATTTTGTTGACACATCCAGATCGATTGCATTCGCAGCTGCTTCATCTGGGGGATACTGACATATATCATAGCCAGCATATGCTGAATGACTATTGGTACCACTTGTTGTATTGCAAAGCGCCTGAATTGGATCACGGGACGTTGTTAACAAATATATTATGGGACCTAAAAGGTTCCAGTATTCACGTTAGTAAAAATTGCGTTATATAACAAACAAAAATTTCTGTCTCATTGTAATTTCGTAGCAACTGGAAGGAGAACATTTTTCTATGTGAATGTTTTTTAAATTTTTAAGTGTTTCAGCTAAGGTCGTAAGAGTAAAAACCTAACCGAAAACTTGTTTACCTGTGGTAACAGGCATTGATGTTACTGCGATAACAGGCATTGATGTTACTGCAATAACAGGCATTGATGATACTGCAGGATGTTCACTAACTATGCACGAAAGTAAATGTAAATACAAAAATTACAATAACTACTAGCATTGTACAACAGACCACCAGAAGCAGACATAATCATCGTTGTTTTGTTTGGATTGTCATAGGTCTCGGTAGTTTGAACTAAATTAAATTTAGTTTATTATATTTATTTAAATTTTATAGTATTACACATGTCATGCTGTTTTTTTTTAGTAATAAGCATTCAATTAGTTTTAACTAAGTTTTAAATTTTTCAAACAATAGAGTATTACCGTGCACGTATATATGTACGCTTTAAGGCAATACTTCAACTAAAAGTTTCTTATTCCATCAAAACTAATCGAATAGTTATAAAAATAGCATGACATATACACTTGGTGTACTCCAACAATATCGTAGGGGGCAAGAAATTCGGCCGCTTTTCCGAGAGAAATCTTTCTCCAGAATGACCGGATCGATGATTTGGGCTCTCACGGGATCATCTACTGTAAAAGAACGGATGCATGTCTGGAGCTTGTGCTTGTGTGAATTTGTAGTAGACACAATCTAGTAGTTATGAAAGAATTCTCAAGTCTAAGTAATGTGCTGTTACAGAGTTGTGAGTAGTTTAAAGTGACAGTTTCCTTACGTGCCGGAATTTGTGTGTTTTCGCGGTCTTTGCAAAGATTGACTATCTCAGCAAAGCAACAACCTTTGGACCTGCCAAAACTCGATCATCATTTATTTACAATATATCATATATCGAAATAAGGGAATTATACGATAATATGTGCTAATTGATTTTACCTGCTGCTGTCGACAACATGGATGATACTAACTCCAGCGATGATATCGTTCTTTCATAGATTGAGTCTTCTAGAATACTTATTGATTACCAAATAAGAATCTTTGTGTTGACATAAACTTACCAGTACCAGAAATTGCTTCTGTTGTTAAAACTAATGGAAAATAGATTGTAAGTTAGAGAAATCGATGAAAAGAAAAAGCTTATTACCGAAGTCATTTGGATGCGTCTCTCTTAATAGAAGAAAATTGAGTCCTAAAGTTAAAGCGTGAATTTTATTTCTCGCTTCGCTATTTTTGCAAACATATATCGTTTGCTTAAGGGAGAGAAACTACCTGCTGTCGCTGTTGTAGACGTTATTGTCGATGTTATAGCCAAACTCAATGCATAAACCTTATTTAATGTGAGACTTATCGCCAATGTCGGAATGACGACGCATAGAGCAATAATGGTAAGAATATAGTGTCGCTTAAAATATCTTTGAATGGAAGAGTAAATTGTAGAGTAATCAGTTTTGGCGTGTACTATACGTACTTCACCGTTCTCGGATGACTGTCACCGACTTCCTGAAAAACTGTTAGTCAACTAAAAGCAAGATAAAGTGAATTTTAATATCATGTACCTGCTTTAGTGACACAATCGTTTCTGGATGTATTTTGACCATCTGCTGAAGCAATAAAAAACGTCGTACTACACTGTTTATATAATTTTTAGTCAAAAACAAATTAACTCATATTAAAAGGGAAAACATGTTCAATTATTTAAATACCCTACATTGTGTATGAAGCCTCTGATAGTATCATTTTAACAACGTAAATTCCTTTTAGATTTGAGTATTTTAAAGACCACTTTAAAAATAAAGGCGTTTGATTATTTTACAGAATCGTATTTTCACTTTTTATTTTCCAAACATATTTTAAGCATTCGAAATTCTAATGAGCGGACACAATAAAAACTTCACTTTTCTTCAACGGAAATAGAATATATATCTTATAGATAAAAAAATGTAGGAAGTAATTTTTTCTAAAATAGCCTTGATGACGTCAAAAAAGAGGTGGCTTATTTCGATCGTGAAGATCATATTTTAACAGGTGCAAATAGTTTTATGACCCGCACTCGCGTCCATACTTCGCTTCTGTCCACGAATAGATCAACTTTCAAATACTATAAAGATATTAACTAACTGATTCAATAATCCAAACCGCTTTGTTCCTCAACCACATGCTACAGTTTTCGCATTTACTCTTTTGCGTTACCTTACGAAACTGGCTATCTTGTTAGAAGTGATTAGTGAGTTCTAAAAACGAATGAAGGATGCAAGAAAAGATATCTGCCAACCAGAATATACTGCGACTGTCATAAAAAGTTAAACATACCAAAACTGGAACGATGATTACATCTTTTGGTACGTAGTTGATAGATATCCTAAGCGTAACGTAACATTGACAGACTTTTGTGTTAAAAACAGAATTATAATAATGATTTTAAACTCATATTAAATGAGAAGCATAATCTATAGTTGGCGATTGTTTTTCTGTAAAATATTTTCTGTTACATAGCGTCCATCATCTCAGAAAAAATCTCAGCAAATTTTTAATATGATAGCATTTACTGTGACTTCTTTTTAATGTGATAATTTTAGAGGTTTTTCGGTACTCGAATGACAATATAGCACTCTGACATTTTTCAAACGTACCGTTAAAAAGAACATCGTCATCAAACGTTGAGAAAATTTTCTAGTTCTTATTTAGCTGTTAAGAGTTATTTAAAATAATTTCTTTCCAGTACTGTTCTGTTCCATTTGATCTTCTTTCAAACGAATGAGAATTTTGAAAATATTTCTTTTAGTCTTAAACAGTTCATATTGTTTCAAACAATTGCACAAGAAAATTGTTTTTCCAATTTTAAGATTAAAATGCAAAGTTGTCAAGCATATTGTCTCTCTAATAAGTCCTTGCCTGTTAGTAAAGATCACAATACATGTATTATCATAGCCAACATATTGGATTACGAGGTCGCGTGACAGTTCATAGCTATTGTTATTGTTGGTCGTGTATGAATGAGGGATAACAAGCGTTCCATATGTCGAAACATAATTATACCCGTGGGCAATACCATTTTAATTATTGTTGTTAGGCCACCAATAACGCCTATCGTTGTTGTAACTATGTAGGGAATATCATAACGTTTTGTTTCTGTATATGTGCAAGTTTGCGGGTGACAATTGTCATAAAAGGCTGAATAATTACTCTTATTATTCCACTGTTCAATCATAAATCCATCTAAAATCTTTGCTATAGTCGTATTTGGTGAATATTGTTGTGAAACTGTTAAATTAACAGAAGAGGATTCTCTTACACAGGTTTTATCATAGAAACATTCAAGTGTCGATTTTAAAAGAGCTTCGATTGGATAACATCCCGTATAAAAATTTTTGAACATGCTTAATGGCTGTATACATGTGGATGTTTGAGCACAATCACACTCATCTTCACCATATAAAACGGATGTCGTAAGAATAGAGCCCAAAAGATTGTCAGGCAAATCAAAAAAATTGTAATTCAAATCAAATTTGTAGTTTGTCTGATAACTCGACATAAGTTGATTTGCTTGTGTCATTCCACGCATCAAATAGAACGCCGTGAGAAATGGAATTGGAGTTTGTGATTGATATGAATTTATAATTGAATCTAATTCAATATTGAAAGTGTTTTGTGGAATAGCTTCAGGCGAGAGAAAATCGTTTCTATAAAACAAAGTCAGAGAATCATTTACAGCATGTTCAATTAGTTCACAAAAAGTAAACAACGTTTGTAGTTGATTAATAAATATTGAATTAGATGAAAGAGGTACAAAATTACTCATACAGATAGGATGATACGTTGGTTGAATAGAGACGAATATATTATAATTAACTGTAATATTGGAACAAGGACAATGAAGGTTATCGACGTTCAAATGTTGTAGATGTGTATACATAGATAACGACGGCGATTGAATGATAATAGTTGTTCTCTCGGTGGCAAGTCCATTGTAAGATAGTGTGATAATTGATGATGAAAGAAATAATACGATAAACCACCGTGTTGTTATAATTTCCCAATGTACACTTTCAGCATCATGTGAGCCAGTTTGAAAGAGATTTAACAATATCAATTTGTTTTTTATAAAGGAAATACTGATTTTTAATCGGTTTCCCAATGTTAATTGAACTAGAACAAGTAGTTTTATAATCAATACGTTACTCTGCAGCATGTGGGGAAAACCTCACAACGTACCATACATCTTTATGTCAAGTCTTTGTGTTATACTTCTTCATACTCCATTCACGTATACCCATTTTAGCTACATTAAATTTAGTGTAAAATCTCTCCATCAAGTATAGATCTATAGGTCACTATATAAAGAAAGGCAGTCCTAACGATCAATTTCTGATAGCTGATACCGAAGAAAACATTTTTATCGATGTTTTTTCGTACAATATTTGATTAAAGAGAATCGGCATTGTGAAAAAGCGAGAAATAATTGATTTTGACCTTAATGAGCCTGAAATAAGAGATTGTACATATCGATTCAAATTGCCTAGTCTTATAACGGACTGATAAAAAAGATACATCTAAACGTTGATTTGGGTTCATTATGCTTCCACGATATTTAGAAATCTTCGCTATTTACAAGAGAAATCAGTCACATTCTGTTGGGTTTCTTTCTTGCTCTTGTTATATATCAGTCAAAGGCTACATCCGTTGTTTCGACTAGTTTACAGTTTAAGGCGCCTGGTCATTTCGCCTCAAGATAATTCGCCTTGGACAAATCGTTCCCGAACATTTTTTCTCACGGATATTTTATCTCGCACCCATTTCGTGAGGGATGGTTCGTCTGTAGACAATTATTTTCGGAGAATTTGTTCCATAGACAATTTGTCTTTTATGAATTGTCCATTAAGGGCATTCTGAGAAACATTACGTATATTAGAGCTGTGTAAAATAGACTCCAGTGTACAATTCTTTACATATTTAACACAAAATTAAGAAATGAAAAATGAACTTTTCGTTTTCTAAAATAAGACTGAACTATGGTCTGAGAAACGGTTGAGAATCTTTCAAAATAAAATGAAGATTTTTGATTTTTAGTCATCTGGAAGTTTCTATTTTGGTTGTTCCCCAGTTTAGTACAATTCTTCAGATTGTAATAGTGTTCTAGCGCATGTGAAATTTTTGGTTATTTGGAAATAGTTTATACTATAATTCCTATTGGCTTATTAACTTTTGTTATTTGGACACATCAAATTTGCTGTTGGATAAATGTATACCGTTTTTCTAAAATACATATTTTGTTAGTAAAAAAAGATAGGTGCTACTGGTAATTTCGTAGTTCGACAGCGTGTTTCCACAGTATCAAATTTTGAGTAAAAAAACTTCGACACTGTCGAATTTCGAGCGAAAATTTTTCGACAGATTTTTCGCTCAAAAGTGTCGAAAGTTTTCAATCGAAATTCGACAGTGTCGAAACACGCTGTCGAATTTCGACACACGAAAATCGAACACATACAAATTTCGCCTTAATTATTATAATAATTCACTTATTATTATTATTTATTATTCTGTCGAATTCGGAGCGAAAAATCTGTCGAATTTCTAGTCTGTTGGAAAACTTTTACTCGAAATTTGACACTGTCGAGAGTGTATCAAATTTGGAGTCAGTATTTTCGACACTGTCGAATTTCGAGCGAAAACTCACTGTCGAACTGCGACAGATTCGTGTACACTGGAGTTTATCTTACACAGTTCTGGTACACATAATGTTTCCCAGAAAGAATGTCCTTAACGGACAATCCATAAGAGACGAATTGTCTATGAAACAAATTCTCCGAAATGAATTGTCTATCGACGAACTGTCTCTGACAAAATGTCCGAGGACGAGTTGTACAAGATGAATTGTCTTGAGACGAAATTACCTAGTATCACAGTTTAAGAGCTTGATAAATAAGACTTTCACCTTTTTATATCATACTGAAGTCCAAGATTACGATATAAAACTTCTGTGAAACTGTTAAGTGCCTTGCTTTTGTAAAACGCTAGTGGTGAAAAGATGTTGTTCTACTGTTGATTTAAAACGAACGATACTGATGTTTGTCGATAGAGAAACTATATGAGGCTGTGAAATTTTGTAGTCATATGTGCATAGTGTATAATAGAAAAATTTTAATGAAATCTTACCATTGTTTTCAATCGGTAGTGGTTTTTGAATTTTATCAATGATTTTTCGTATGACTAGCACTGAGAATGGAACGAGAAACTTTAGCCCAGTCATTAAACCCCCAATTAGTCCGATAATTTTTGTGATTATATAAATCAAATTATTTCGTGTAGCAACTGAATATGAACAAAATGACGGTGCACATTGTCCGTAGTAGCTGCCGAAATTCGTTTCATTTTTCCATTCTTCAATTGTTAGATTTTTGAAAATAACATCGATCAGCGTGTTTGGTTCGTATTGGCTTTTGATTGTGGAATCGAGGACGGTTACATTTACCAGATCCAAGGGATGAGGGGCTTTCATATCTGAGAGCATACTAAACAATGGTATAAAGCATGTTAAATTGAAAAAACATTCAAGAGTGGATTGCATTAAAGCATTAACTACATAGCAGCCAGTATAAAAATGAGTAATATTAGCAATCAATGGGTTGTAGAGCGAATCATGGGTCATGTTAGCAAGATACATTTCTTCGATGCAATCGGATGAAGTTATACAACTACAATTACTGAAGTTCATAAACGTTGGTGGCATATGAAAATGATGATTACCAATATCTTCGAGTGTTGTCAGTGAATTGATGGACATGGCTGGTAGTAACTGATTACCGTATGTCATTATTTGTATCAGTTCTAGTGTTTGCATAAATTGACTTGGTGTATTTTGTTTAAAATTATGTATAAACGTATTTATTTGCATTAAGAATAACTGATGAGACATAACGTCTGGCGTTATTAAATCAGTTAAACCAAAGCGTTCAATTTCAACATTCACCGTTTGTTCAGACAATTGACATAATAATGCTAGTGCTTGAAATGGCGAAGAACCAACGTATTGGAGGTCAGTATAATAGTTATCGTTGAACAGTGTCATAGCACCAAAATTTACAAAGTCAAACCATGATTGAGTGATAAAAGCGCTCGAGCATACCTGATGATAAGTTGGGTTAAACGAGATAAACGTATGGTATTTGACTGAGATTTGTGAACATGGACACGAAAGATCATCGCCATACTTATCGTACAACTGTTGATAATGTTCAAATGTTGGAGAACGAATTTGAACATTGTCAACGTGTTTTTGAAATGATGTATAAACGAGCAATGTGACAAGTGCTGCGGTAAGTGTAATGAAGAATGTGTATGTTGATATACGCTCGTATCGTTCGTCCCTTACGTTCGATGAATCACTCTTGAATATGTTCAATGTTACAAGTTTATCTTTGATAGAGATGAACAGCAGTTTAATATAGTCTACTGTGATTGGAACTGAAACATAAGTTTTTTATATTTCATCCATCTTAATTGAGCTACAGTGAGTTAAAAATGCTTTTGTCTTCCTCGTGGAAAGTGTAGAAAAAAGAGTTTGATCAAAATTGCTTTCTCTCATCTTTGGTTTCACGTGAAACATTTCGATCAATTAAATCGGCTAGAGGTAGCTGGCAAGTTATCTAGTATATTCTAAAAAGACGACATTGAGAACGCAGCACCGATTCCGTTTTTTCACGACGTCGGCATCAGTTATGGAGTTTTTAATTGACATTTGTCTTCGCAAGTTGTCTTCTAGTCAATTTTCAATATGAGCTTATTAATTTGCATGAAAATTGAATACAGTCGTTAGTTTAAAACCGAAGTTCTCACTCAGTTTTCTCCTTTTTATAGAAAATAAACATTTCCGCAACACTCAGAGCTAACCTTTGTGTGAAAAGTCTTGGCACAAGTCTTGATGTTTTTTGTACCAGGACTAAAGCTCAAAAGTAGTATGCTAGAATAAGAATTTCATTTTCTTTCAGAATTTTATTACGGCATTCACAAATGATACAGTATAAATGATGCAAAAATCTGGACGGAAAAATATTCTGATATATTTTTTATTTCAACTATTTTAAATTGAGCTTTGATGAAAAATAATTTTGCTTCAATCAAGATTGTAGAACAAACATCTGTTTACATGATACATTAGCTACAAAAAAATTCAACTAGAAAACCATTGAATTTATTCTAGTACAAAACAATAGTGCATTTTGAACAATCGAAATTTTACGTGTAAAACGTTGAAAGTAGCCTTTACAAAATGCTTTTCATTACTCATTCTTACATTCAATACATCATTTTGTAGAGAAAGATTTGCTCTATAACCTTGAATAGTTTAAATTTTTCTATCATCACAACGAAAGACCAATTCTGGCATCGCTAAAATACATATTTTTTTGTCCAGATAAATTTTCTGAGTCGATTCATATTGTACTATTTGTGAACGACAAAAAAGTAATAAAAGCTTTTCAAACCCATATTCTGATAGAGAATTAAATTCTGATTCTGGTCCATTATCTTTAAGCTTTAATCCTGGTACCAATTTTAGTACAAAAAACATCAAGACTTTTTACATAGAGGTTATTTTGACTGAGCAACTGTCGCCAGTTCTACCGATGATAAGAAATTGGCGGAATGTTTGGATTTTTTCAACAGAAGAAACTATCGTTGAAATTGAGGATAGCTCTAAAACTTGTTTTACGATTATTTATATTATTACGGATTTCTGTACGTCGGAGTTGCGCTAAGACCACGTAAACTTCCTTAGCATAAAAGGCTACGGCTTTCTCAAATGTCTGATGAATCGTAGCTTTTTTGACTGGTCTTCTGGTTTGCGCTAGACTGTCAACGGTCTTCTGTTATGTCGTGTGGAACATTAGCATGGGGGTTTAAGCCTATGTCATACTTTTCACCTAGGAAAAATTCGTATCCTTGTTCAATTTTACGTTTCGTGCAAAAAGCTTCACATCATTACTTACCATGCCTATATTGCCCAATTTTTCGCATCATTTCTACCAAGAAGGGCGTGACTATCATTAATAACGCTGTTAATCCACCACACAGTCCAATAACTGTCGTGAAAATATCAATTAAAGCAGTTCTCCCCATTACCAAATATGAACAATACGAAGGCAGACATGTACGATAATACGAATCAAAATCGATTTCATCATTCCAACTCACAATCATCAGTTGCTCAATCATATTACCTACTGTCATGTTCATTATGCCAGTAATAGTATTCAGATTTGTCATATTCATCGAGGATGATACGTTAATGCTTAAAAAATAATTCATGTTTTCAAAACAACCTTTATTGATGAAACAGTCGAGAGATGACAGTAGAAGAGATTCAACTGGATAACATCCTGATTTCCAGTTTGAAATTATAACATCGACATCGTTATTATTGTCTGTATTAAAAAGTTTTGAAAAAGATGTACACGATGCTGTCGAATAGCAGTCACAATCAAATCCATCGTATTCATCTCCCGCATCACCGTAGATTTGGGCTATTCGTTGGACGTAAAGCGGACTGTAACCTATATAATATGTATATTGTGGAATATAGTTTGTTAGTAATCCTGAAACAATTTGATTTCCTTGTATTATTGTTCTTATCATATCGAATGGTAGTTGAAATGAGCTTTGTGTTATTGTTTTAAATTGATCGATAAACGCGTTTATTTGTGCTTTAAATAACTGACGATTGAAAATATCAGAAGTGATTAGTTCAGTTGAGTAAAATTGTATTAGTGCATCATAAACTGTTTGATTTGCTCTTTGACATAGCAGTAAAAGAGCTTGAAATTGATATCGTCCAATAAACCGGAAATCGTATTGGAAATAGAATGGATTATTTATTGGCCTGATATTATCATAAGCAATATAATCAAACCACTGTTGGCTAACAAAAGGACTTGAGCATACATCTTGAAATTTCGGATCGAAACGGGTAAACGATTCATATTTAATTGATATTTGTGAACATGGACAGACAAGTGTGTCTGGATATTGCTCTTGTAACTGATTGTACAAGAGTAACGATGGCGATTGAATCGTGATAATTTGCTCGTAATACGCTAGGCTCCTGTACGATATTAAAATAATTAGACTACAAACTAATAGTGTCAAGTACAAGCGTGTAGTTATTATCTCATAACGAATATCGTCAACGTTATTCGAGCCACTTTTAAAATAATTCAGGTTAAGGAGTTTGTTTTTTGTAAACGTTGCTGCGGCATACAAACGTTTCGTAAATGACATAATCTATCTCGTGAAAAGAAATAGTCTTATAAGTAAAAACTGTAGGCTACCGATTGGCTTCAATATGTCTACTTTTTAAAGGGTAAATAATCGTAGTTTCTTATGTTCATCACATAAAGGAGTGTTTTTTACACACAATTGACTTATTCGTTTATTTCTTCTCCTTTCCTTTGGATCAGCAAGGTGTGAAATTAGTTTATGTTTAAAAACAAAAAACATAATGAGTTTCTTTTAGAAAAAAGTTCTGCTTTAAAAAACTCTAATTTTACTGATGAGTGTGAACCGACAATTTAGTCACTTCATGATGATAGTGTAAAATTTATATCATTACAGTCGTCAGGTTTGATACGAAAGGGCTTTACCAACAGCGAAACAGTCTTTTTTACATCCGACTTTGATTCAGAAAATTATTCAGTATATTCATAGTTCGAATAAATTAGTTTTTGAATATTGGAAATGTCCTGACAGTTGTAAAATGCATTAAACGCATATTATGATTGACTCATCGGAATCGATTTTTTATTTTTGACTTTGTTAATATTTTATAGGACTCAAAAACTAAAAATTTCGATAATTTTGAAGACAGTCTTTTCGAAAAGCAACTTCTCCAGCAAAATTAAGCCACAATAAAAATGTAATCCCATAATTAGCCTACTTTCTTTTCTGTTTCAAATGTATAAAACGAGTGTTGTTCGATCTATTATAAAAGAAATTATTTCAATCGTAAATAAATATTAATGAACAAAGGTACGCACGTTTTAGCTAAATATACTTAGACAGTTGCCAATAACTTCATTAATGAAGATCATAAAGACTTGCTCGATTGAAGGCGAGAACTTATTTTATATTACCGTATCATCTGTGGAAAGAATGGTAACAAATGTTTCTTTTTAGAAAACTCTCTGTTTTTATGTATTTTACTAACACAGAAAAGAGCATTGAGTTTAGCCTGAATTGTAAAAGCAGACATTTAGTACTAGTTAAATATGTGTTCAACTCAGTTTTGGTTGAGGTAGAGGTGTAGATTGCTCAAGCTTCATGCATACGGTAGGTAAAATCTAACATTAACTGAAAATGTTTCTGATGATCTTTTCTTTTCTGTGGTGTCGTACACGAAAGGTCATATTTGTGTTATAATCAAATTTTGAAAAAACTCTCTTGTTTTGATTAAAGCCTGATAGTATGTGATGCTTGATCATAAGATGATCGCCGATAGACTATTAAAAACAATAATATTCTACAGGTTCGTTCCTATATAGTGGAATGGAAGAAGACGACGATGCACCATATCAAGTAATTCTCTTTCGTTCTAATATTTTCGTCCCGTATTTTGTTTCTCAACATACATACACATCAACAATATACCAGAATTTATACTATAGAATACATATAACATATATTTCACCAGAGTAGTTATTTACTTTCTACTTGTATATTGCTGGGTGTGACAAAGATCGTCTTATGATCAAAACATCCTATATTATATCCATAGAGAACGTACTTGTGCCCAAGTACTCCGCTTGCGTAATGAAGCCAGTACTTATCTTTTTTCCAGAAGTAAATTTACTTGTAAGTACTTGTCCAGCGTGCAAGTACTTGATTTTTAACTGGACAAGCACTTGTTCAAGCGCTTGTCAAATAAAATTGCAAGTACTTGAACTGTTTTCAAGGCATTTCTCGCAGACCGATTTCTTAATGCATCCACATAGGTCTAGAGTGACAAAAAATACTCTTTCTACTCTTACACTGTTAAAATGTAGCTTTAAATTTCTCGATTAAGATATTAGAAATATTTCTGTTTTTTGTTAAATACCACCCTAGAGAACGTACTTGATGCAAGTACTTGTCAATGCTCGAAATACTTGCCTTATTGCTAAGAAATACTTTCTAAAAGTACTTGACAAGTAAGGACAAGTACTTACAAGTAAATTTACTTCTGGAAAAAAGGTAAGTACCGGATTCATTGCATAGACGAAGTACTTAGTACAATTATCTGGCCCTAAGTACGTTCTCTAGGGATACGAAAATAATAAAATAGAAGGAAAAATGGGCAAGTCTAAGTCATGACTGAGACTGAGTCACAACTGATGGTTTTTTTCGTGATTGAGACTTGACTGAGACTGAAAAAGTTGTGACTTGCCCATCTCTGCGTTACGCAGATTTTCTTCGTCTGACTTAAATTCGACTGTCTGGTATCCTTAGGAATAGAATGTCGTTCTATCTATACTTTAATCTTCATGTCGGTTGTTTTCAGAAATATTCGTGACTACAAGCCTAATCACGCCCATCTTTCGTATCAGTTGCAGCTAGACAAACTTCCTGCCATGGAGATTAACAATACATCACAAACGAGGTAAGGTGTTGATTAGTTCTGTTACAACTCATTTTGTTTTTAATCAGCAGTTGGTCGCGAGTGTTTGTATTCACGGTTACGTTAATCATCTGCTGTACCCTTGGAACGCTCATCTACCAGATACTTGACCGTATGTTAAAACGAAGACAGTGTGGTGAGGAGAATGCGTGCTTGTACATAATCCATTCTAGGTCTACATCATCATGTTTCAATTAATACCATGGTTTCTATAACATCGAGTAGTAAGACCTCATGGTTCTAGGTATTCAATACCTGCTATACCTTCTATTTAGCTCAATCGACTAATCATTCTAAAGCGATTACAACATCAGAATTGATGACGGTGATAGGTAAATAAATCATGTTCAACGACAATGAAAACACAGCCAAAAAGCTATATCGTTTCTGGCTTTTCCTTCTTCTCTCATGTCACGTTTTTCCATTTCAAAAATGAATAAGTCTTGTTCTCGGTGCTGTCTGTCTCCTTCTAATGTTTGTACCCACATTGAGTCCACTACACTGCAAAGAGAGTGCATCTTCGAAAGAAATGTATCCGTTGTGCCGAAAGTGGACTATTTTCACATAGTACAACGCTGTAGTTTGTTTGAATATATCTACAACAAGTACAGTACAACTGTACGTGTAAAATAAACAGATAGACGACGATTGCAGACAATACGATCATATTACTTTTTCTCTCGCTCTTTTTTCCTTAACAACTGCTCTAGTTAAACGTTACAATGCCTAGGTGGATGCTTTTCAATCATCCTGATGCCTGATTATTTCAGAAACCGTTTATGGTAGCGTTAATGTGACGATGAGAACAAATGGTAATCACACAGGATACACCGTTTTTAACCGGATTGATCAAGTAACGATACCAGGTTACTTGACGAGCGTGTCGATCAACTTTTTCAATCGACCAACACCGGGCGTTGCTAAACTTTTCATCAATGTCATTGCACTAACATCGGACGTGAATAATTTTATGATTGTCGAGCAGTATCAGATACCATCTGAAACAATTACGAATAATGTCGTCCACAGTGCAGCAGAAACATTCAATCTACCCACATCGCTGATACGAGTAGACTACGGTCATTATGTCGGTATCGGATTTGGACCAGATGGCGGAAGTGCATGTCAACTGGATCGTCATATGTACTATATGCATCGAACTGATCTTTTATCATATATCACGTCCGTTTATCCGGCTAGGTTTTCGAATAACATGTATCGAGGTGCCGCATTCACGTTTACTATCACATCAGAAGGTATAATATGAAATATCTCGTACCTTAGCAGGTCACTGAGTTAGCTTGTGTTTACCAACATAATATTACTTTATATAGCGGTAATCTTCTCATCGAACCATTCATGAGACTAAGGTTTAAAATGAACTCTGATTTTGTTTTTAGTCGTTAATATTCCCATGCTAATCCGTTTCCATTATTTTTTATAGTACCAACTGTCACACGCATTCCAACGGCGCCAGGTGAGATGAAACTGGCGAGTCTTTCTGCAGATGCTGACACATTTTGTTCATCTTTTTAGTTACCTATGACAGTTGTGATCAGAATTTACAAAAGAAGATTCCGCGAGTCAGTGGACAAACGGGGTTTAATTACCGCTATCGTGCTCAGTACAGCGGTTATGTGCAAAACATCCGTTTAAACTTTTACGGAACGCTGAATCGTGTAACAAATACAATTTTTCTTTTCACCATCAGTGCCATTCCTGACACATCAACATTATTCCACATTGTTGACACATATGAGGTACCGTCTGCACAATTTCCAGACAGTGTCGGTATTCATAACATTGAACTATTACCTGGAGCTCTAAACATCTCAGATGGTCAATGGTTAGCTATATCGTTTCAAGGTATTTTTAGTTTTGATCTAACGAATGAAACTTTGGCCGTGGTGACGAACTGTGATTCGTTTTCTATTTCCAACGAGCACTCCCAGATTTCAAGAGTGATCAAAATTCTTTTTGTACAGAACAACTTAGAAATTGGAATTTTTGACAGTAGTGAAATTTAGTGAAGTTTTTCAAAACAAGTTAGGGTTTTCATTTTATTTTATCTTTTAAAATTTCCAAACTATTTTACTATGATTCCAATGTAAAGCTGAATAACTTAAAAAAAACTGAATCTGACATTTTTTAAAACATAAAATTACCAAGAACTTTAGAGAGACTCCTGCCGAAACCGAGAATGCTGCGAAAAATCGATTAAAGTTTAAGAAATATATTTGTTTTTAAATGCGATTTTAGGATTCTCGATACAAAATGACTCTGAAATTCAAATTTTTAGACTTCTGAAACTTTTGGGGACCAAGAAAACGTTTTTCAAAAGAGCTGTAAAAATTTTTGTGTACAAAAACTGAAATAGGTTACGTAAGCTATAGCACTAGCTAGAAAGCTATATAGCAAAATCCCCACACGATTATGGATAGAGTGGTATTGTTACTTCTAGCTTATTAAAGCACATTCGAAAGCGCAACGATGATGTTCGCTTGTTTTATTTCACTTAAAGATCATTGGAGATAGTGGACATGAAACCTTCATAAAGAGGATCTTCATAAAATGATGGATCATCGCTGACGTTAAGAGCATAACAACGAATTACCAAAAGAGTTGTACTAGATCTGGGAAATGATCTTAGGTTAACGGTGCAACGGTAAATGACATTGCTGATGCATATTGTTCAAACGACCATCCACGGCCATCATACTCACACTGATCACACATTGGATCACTTAACTCAATTGCGCGCTCGTTGGAAATAGAAAACGAATCACAGTTCGTCACCACGGCCAAAGTTTCATTCGTTAGATCAAAACTAAAAATACCTTGAAACGATATAGCTAACCATTGACCATCTGAGATGTTT